TTTGTTGCCTGTCAATAATCATTTATTAAGTGTCTGTTAGTGTCAGGTGCTATGCTAGGCAATGGGATTCAACCAATCAACAAGAATTTATTAAGCACCTACTGGGTGCCAGACCCAGCAAAGAAGGTACTGATATAAAACCAAAAGTCACTGTCCTTAATGAGCTTACATTGAAATAGCGAGGGGGGGGGGGAAGCAGGGGGAGAAAGGGACGTGCACAGATAATTAAATACAAAATACATAAAAAGTGAATAAAGGGTCATTTCTGGCATGAGATGAGCAATAAGAAGGGAAGGGGAGTAGAGCTCAGGAAAGGCCTTATGTAGCAGGCTGTAACTGGAAATAAAGTCACAGTCCTTATATTTACAAAAATGCAGGAACTCCATCCTTTGCTCCCCTAGAAAGACCTCTCTATTTGCATTCTATTTTAGAAACAGGTATCCCACTTCTGCCCGGCTTTTAATGGGCTCTGAAGAATCCATGTTGAAGTTGTTGTTCAACCTTCATTCTCAAAGAGGACCAATGACATCATGAGGATGATGTCTTGACTTGGAAGTGAATTGGATTTAAATGAGGTAGAGCTGTGTAAAGTCATCAGCCTCACTCTCTCCTCCAGAGTCATTGGGGTCCAGCGGCAAGACACAGGTCAGGACGACTGACAATGGCCCAGCCCGTGTTGAAGTATACAGAGAATTAAGGTTCTAAACCAAAGTCATTGGGAACTTAATGTTGGACACTCAATTGGGTATGATACATGGTGGGGATTTCCTTCATGTACAGAGTGGCCTACCAGGCCACTGAATTATCTTCCCACTCTCCAGTTCTGTGATTCTGATATCTCTACATCTGATCTGTCACCTGGAGAACACCAGACAGCATTAGCCAAATATCACAACCCTATTTTCAAGCCGAGTGCTTGGTGGTATAAGTAGAGCCTATTGTTAAATTCATTAACTTTCCCAACAAATACTACTTGGTTCCTATGAGTGCATACCTGCAGGAAGTTCCTTTGATGCTCTGAGTACAGTAGGATGGAAAACTTAATTGTTAAATAAGCCCTCTGATCGACAAGGGGTTGAAGAGGCCAATTTCGTTGTCAACAGGAGAGGCCCTCTTATGGCTCTGAATTTCCATCTGGGCTACTAAGAGCACCTGAATTTAACATTATCAAAGTACCCCAATAAAGAAGAGGCCAGAGTTTAATTCCAAGCTGTCTTTGGAGAGAAGAAATGTTAAGTCCTGAGCTGCCACTGGCTGTTGTAGCCACTAATAAAACCGAAGTCTGGTCACTAAAGAAATAGCGGGAGCCTACATGCTCAGGCTCCAGAGAGGACCGCTTCTCAGGCTAAATCTCTTGACAAATTAAATCCTTTCCCTAATTGCGTTGTCCTTTTTGCCACGTGGGTCCTATCGAGTGTCCCTTCATTGGCCAAAGAGTAGAAGGCTCTCTCTGTACAATCCTCCAAGTAATTTATATGTAAATAATAAAAAGCTGATCCCAACCCTATTCCCCTAGGCACGTCCCAATTAACCTCCTTTTAGCTTTTTACGGTTATCCTTTGTTTCCTATCCTTTAGCCAATTTCCAGAGGACTCTGCCAACTTTCCCCTAATTCCACAGCTCGGGCTTATACATTACCTATGAGGCAGAACATTTTTGTCGAACGCTTTTTTGAGAAAACGGACTATTCTCTAAGACAGCCCTCTGTATCACATCTTTCTCTTTCATTTTATTTTTCAATTAATAAGCATTTATTTTTTTCTTCCTTCCATCCCACCTCCTCATCAATTTAAAAGAATAAAAGAAAAAACTAAATCCATGTAACAAATATGTAGAGTCAAGCCAGACAAATTCCATAGTGTCCATGGCCATAAATATCTCATTCTGTATCACCTCTCTCTCAGACGAGCAAAGAATCCCGGGAATGACAGCGTCCTCCCCAGGCTACCTGTCTCAATTCACCACTTCTCACTCCCTCCGCCAAATGTCAATTACTCACAGTGTAAGGAAGTCAATCTAGCTAAAGCAGTGAGGACACCTGAAGAAACAGGAGGCAGCATGTACCAGGCAAGCTGAACCACCACCACCCTGCTACCA